CCCTTCCCTCCCCCTCCCTCTCCCCCTCCTCGGGCCTTTGCTCTCACTGTACCTACTGTTGAGAACTTCCCCATCTTCTCACTAGCCAACTGCCGTGGGCTTCTGTAAGTGACTCCTCAGATCTCTTGTCAACAAAGAACTACCCTGGGGCTGGGGACATAGCTCGGGGGAGAGTACCTGTTGAGCATGTGCCAGGCCCTGTGTTTGATCCCCAGCAGTGCAAGGAAAAAAGAGAGAGGGAGAGAAAGGAAGGAAGGAAGGAAGGAAGGAAGGAAGGAAGGAAGGAAGGAAGGAAGGAGAGGGAAGAGAGGAGGGGCGGGAGGAGAGGAAAGGAGAGAAGAGAACAAGTCTATCCACATCCTCATTGCAATTTTTACATTTTCACTCTTCTGCTGCTTCTGCTTTCCTCAGCAAGTGTGAACGGCCTAACTCGCATGAGCTAGGAGGGCGGGGGGAGTAGGAGCCTTTGTGTGCTCACTGTTGTATGTTAGTCTAGTGTAGAGCCCATGTGCAGTAATTACCCAATGGATATTTACTGAACAAATACAAGAATACATCACTAGACACGGATTTCTTTCTTTACTCTCCTTAGTATATAATTAAGGATTTCTAATTATAAGAATCCATATTTTCATCAGTTTCGGAAAATTTTCAGCCAGTAATTTTTGTTGGGCTTTTTTTTTTTCAGGACCTCGTGTTTGCCAGGCAGGCGCGGTGCCACTGAACTACATCCCGGCTCCTCAGCCAATAATTTTCAAATATTGTTGGTGTATATTAGATCATTCTTGATCTACTCTATTTTAAGCACACAAATCATATTTTTGTCCTGTTGTCGCATTCTGCTGGGTTTTAAGTAATTGAGATTCATTTCCCAGTTTATTAATTCTCCATTTTGCTGTTTAACTTATCAATTTAATGTTTAATCTAACGATTCTTTAATTTTACAAGGTTTTATTTGGTTCATCTTCATGTATACAAAATGTGATCAAAATATAATCACAAATTGTAATCAAAACATTGAATATTTAATTAAAAATTTGTTACAATAAGACAAATTGCCATTAATCCCCCTGCTCACTTTGAACATCCTTATCCCACTGTTCTTGCCTCTTTCTGAAGTAGTTCTGGAAGTCCTCTTTCATTTCTGTACAAGGCATAATAAAAAATGTAATGAATGCTGCTGCTGAGTACTGTGCAACTGAAAGGCAGACTTGTAAAAACATTAGTGTGTCCTCAGCCACCTATTTTCTAGACCTGGCACCATGTGATCCTGTCTCTTACCCCAACCATTAAAGGTAAATGTTTTGAATCAAATCAGGACATCCAGGCAGCTATAACAGTGCAACTAAAGACATGAAAGAAGACTTCCAGAACTGTTTCAGAAAATGGCAGGAAAGACAGGATGAGTGTGTTTAAACTGTGTGTGTGTGTGGGGGGGGTTGTTTTGAAGGAGATTAATGGCAAGGTGTCTTTTCTTATAATAATTTTTTGAAAATGTAAACATTCACTATCTTTTTCTACCACACAGCATTCGTAGGCATTTTGTTGATTTATTTTTATGATTCTGTCTTTAATCCTTTAAACATTTGGTTATTTCATGTAATAGATCTATTAATTCTCATATTTGATGTTTATAGCTTCTGTCGGTATTCACAAATGATGGTGTCCTTGATGTTTGCTAATTTCCTACTTTGTTGACCTTAATCTGTGGAACCTGGTGACCTACTCTGAAGTACTTTCATCTAGAGGGGCTTTGCATTTATTCCTGTTGGCACCTGAAGAGTGCTCATCACCTGGGCCCACTTCAAATACTCCGTAGGATCCCTGCCTTGCTGCAGGCACTCCGTGGACCCCTGTCCTACTGTGGGGCTCACTCCACTCCAGCACTCACTCCAGCACTTCTAACTACCCAGCATTTCCTGTGTGATTCCTGCTCAGTTCCCCACTTTGATTTTAGCTCCTATGTTAAAGGAGAATCATAAAAATAAGAAATCAACAAATCCCCACATATGTGGCGTGACTGAAACATGTAGTGATAGAAAAATTTTCTTTTTCTGTGAAAATTTCTTTATTTCCTACAAGCTCGGGGCTATAGCTTCCTGAATGCTTCCTCTGAAGGTCATGTGTTAAAGGCTGGGTCCCCAGGGTGGCGCTCTTGGGAAGTGGTCGAATCATTAGGAAGAAAGGGCTGATGGGAGGTCTTCATAGGAGGGAGTGCCCTGGAAGGGGTTGTGGGATCCCAGGGTTGCTTCCTCTTCCGCTCTCGCTCTATGGCTTGTGATGGGGGCAGTTCTGTCTACCAGGCATTCCTGCCATGATGTGTTTGCCTCATCAGGCAACCAAAGCAATACCCACCAGTCCCTCATACTGGACTGGAAACTCAGAGCCAAAGTAAACCTTTTGTCTTTGTAAGTTAATTGTCCCAGATATTTTTTATAACAACAGGAAGCTAGTTCACTCATCAAAACAATTTATTACATTAAAAAAACCCACAATTTTTATGCCATTATTTCATAGCATGAGGACCCTCAGCAGTACTTTCTAATTTTCTTTTCTTTTGCCTTCTGTCTACTGTCTTAGATATTTTTAAAGTTATGATTTATGGGCTTCAAGTCCTCTCTCCTCAATGATAATTGCTGTATACTGAACAGCAACAGCGACAACAAACACTCTTTAGTAATGCATACAGCTCCTATTACCTAGTTGAAGAAACTATGAGTTCAATTGCAGACTAGGAGAGGATCGAGCAATTAACATACGATGAATCTGGGGTTATTCCTGTCTCAAACTCCAAGCCCAGGTACCTCCTAACTTGTTCTGCTCGGTGACAATTATGCCATTGGTGTACACGAGCCTGTGTCTGCCAATAATATGCCTTTTTTTCTGGCTAGAATGACACATCCACATTCTTTTATGCCCTGGTAAATGGGCTGTTGTAGGAAATGATTGGTTCCCTGTTATATGCAGAGAATCAGTTGTGCAAGATGCAAGCAGAGTTCAGTTGCATTTAGTCTTATTTGTTTATAATTCCCAACCTGACTGGACAGTTCCTCACCATAAACAGCTTCAAGCTTAATTTCTACATGATTTATTGCTTGGTTAGCACTACATATGCCATCAATAGGGAGCTAAAATTGATTATTTTATGTGCACTTTTTATATATTGATCATCTTTCTCTTTCTTGCCATTATCTAAGTTGCACTGCAGCCAAGCACAGATTTCTTCTGCTTCTTAAGGCAACTCAGTGAAGTCAATAGGAAGCTATTGCCCTTCCCTTCTGGGTGACAGTTAGTGAGTGAGTCACATCACTAGACTTTCCAGTGGTAAAGGGTAGGGCTTACTTACAGCTCCAAGTGGGAGCACAAAGCTTTAAATACAAGATTTCTGTGGAGTTTCTGGTTAGTTTAGGCATAGTAGTTCTCCGCCAAACTGATCTGTTACCTGGCTGGGCTTGTGAGGACCCACATGTGAGATTCAGGAGCAGGTGCACAACAGGGGCAGACAAGGAATACCCAAAGACACCTGAACTCTTTCCTGGAAACTCCTCGAGTATAATGAGGAGGAAGACAACAATAACCCAACAGTTACTGATTTCTTTTACTATGTTCCAAGCACTGTTTTCATAGGTGTACAAGCATATTCATTTTCTCATTTAAACCTTCCAATCTTCTGAGATCGAGACACCATTATTGTGCCTATGTTATAGATTCAGAAGTGGGGTCTTATAAGTTACCCCATTACTTGCCAAGAACTGGATTAAAGACCAGGCTAACTATGGAACCTGGAGTTCCAATTACACTCTAATACTAAGATATGTAAAGCTCTCCTTTGAGGGACAGAAAGAGGAGATTGTTATTTTTGGTGTCTACTATCATAAAACCATGCTGTCAATTCAGAGTGTGTTATAAGGGAAATTATTCTTTTGAATAGAATCCTTACAAACATTTCTGTATTAGCCCACACTTTTTTTAGAAGACTGAAAGGAAATTGCCATAAATAGTATATCATCCTATGGGAGACATTTTAATTCCCTCATTTGGAGTTCACATGTACCTTATCTGTACAGCTTTAGCAGGATTGAGTTAAGGTTAGATTTCAACCTTGAAATAAAACTCTTCATCCAATAATTGTAATTCAGAACACTTGCCTCTAGAGGGTGATGCCTCATTATGAAGTATCAATTATTAAAATGTGTGACAGTACCACGATTAAAAGTACTAAGTTGAAAGACAAAAAGAGATCACATTACTATAAATATGCAGAAAGGGTCTCTGATCAGATATAAAATTTTAAAAAGTTGTCTGAGATGTTTTTCACTAATCTAAAAAGGATTCTTTAACTACTTTGTAATAACCATGGGGTAAGACCAAAGGTTAGTAGGAAAGAGAAAGAATATCCTGATAACACTATTTTCTAAGGTAATGCAGAAAAAAATTACAGAAACAATGTATGAAAAATTAAATAATTTTGTAAATTTAATGATTTTGAGAGAAATAATTAAATCCTAGGCAAGTAAATGTTCTCTGGGAATTGGTAACAGCAAGTGGAAAAACAAAGCATTATTCTGATATTTGGAAATTTCAGGAGGGTGATACCTACCGTATCCTACAACTTGAAGTACACCCAACACGAAGAACCAGAAGAGACATCCAGCTATGAACTTCAGGAGTATCAAAAATGTCCAACTAAGGATCATGGCAATAGTCAGACCACTAAAGGAAAAACCCACAACACACATGGGTCAAGTGAGCTAAACATGACATATCTGAACAACAAAACAAGACTGTTTACTATTCAAAATGATTCTTAGATTATTTTACTTTTCTTGGTTAAAGAAATATCATTATTAAAAAATATAAACAATAATTTTATTAAGACTTTCATGTAAAAGAGTAGGACCATTAAAGGCATAAGACATCTTTGTGTGCCTAGGTAAAGTGAAGTATACTCTCCATCATTCTTTGAAGAAAAATACAATTCCTCCAAACTGCAATTTTGACCTCCCTGCCATAGTTGTTATGCTCAATCTTTTTCCTTCACACCTACATACTAGTTGATAAATTATAAAATGTATCCAGGATGAACTTGTGCTGTTTTCTCTACCTGGTGACTAACAGAATGGTGGTCTACAAGGAAAAAGACTTAGGCAGAAAGATAAGAAAAAAGAAACTGGTTACATGGAGTCTACGATGATGATTTTCTAGTCATTATTGCTCCAATCTAAATTCTCTTCAGTAGTTTGAGAAGCCAGATGCCACCAGACTCCTATTTCCACTGATCTGAAGTGGTGGTAAGGCTTCTGTGTCCCGCCCCCCACCCGCCCCCCACCCGCCCCGTTCTATGACTTCATCAGGCAACCAATGGTATGACTATTCTTCGTCTGTTTAGTTTCTACCTAGAGTTTGACAGAGCCGCCAGACAAGCTTCCCGCCCCCCCCCCCTCAGGTTAAGGCCATAATTGAGTCTTCTGGTACACTTTCCTCAAGGACAGCTCATTAGGATTGCAAACTTGGCTGATTATTTTATTTGGAACTGACCTCCCTGCTGCTATCTGCCAGTTTCCACTGATAGCCAGAGAGGGAATCTGACCCATTTACTGAGTTTATGGACTCCAGTGTTATCTTTTTACAAATCTTAATCATTACTGTCACTAGATTTACAGCAGCATGTTATCAAAGTGCCCGTTCAGGGCTGGGGATTTAGCTCAGTGGTTTCGCTGCCTGCTGCACAAGCACCAGGACCAGAGTTCGATCCCCGGTACGGAAAAAAAAGAGCAGAGAGGGCAAGTGAGCAACATGGAAATTATCAGTGACATGTGGGTCTTTCACTAGGAAAACCAATTTACTACCATCAAGTACAACCTATAGTCTCTGCCCAGAAGGTATTTTCTATGACATGGTGAAAATAATTGTTGGAGTTGCTTAAGACAAAGCAGCAAAACAACTAGAATCTCACAAAACTATTCTAGTTTTATAGCTCTAAAAATTACTCACTAATACTTCAGACACAAAACAATTTCTACTTTATTAAGCTCACATGGTTAAATATATTGTTTCTATCTTCTTCTAGTGTTTATAACTGTTCCTTGAAACCCACATTTTTTGCACATCTACTATATCCCCAAATCTATCAGGAACAAGGAAGATAAAGACAAATAGTCTTGGCTGTTGTCATAAAGAGTTGACAGTTTATCGGGGGAAACAGGTACATAAAATACAGAATGGCAGGGGCTTTGTGGAAGATAAATATGCATGTATATGTAGAGGTTTCAAAAATGACAGTAAGCAGCCTTTAATGAGTAAGGTGGAGCCATCCAGTATTCACACAAATATATTCCACAAAAGAGACAAAATGTGTAAAAACATGAGGTTTAATGGACAGATGGGCACATTATTTGATATATTAAGAATATAGAGTTAATCAAGAAACATGGATGGAGCTGCCTCTGAAAAACTGAGTTGGATCAACTTATAAGGGTTCTTGGGAGGATCCAAAGAAGTGTTAACTTTATTCTTTGATCATTAGGGAGTCGCAGCTTTTAAGCTCTAGAAAGTGACATTCCAGTCAGACACCATGAGAATCTAAGGCATGTCAAACACACTTACCTACTTCAGTAGAGTGACTACATCACTAACATTCCAGTATCATAAACCTTATGCTCTTAATTAAATTAAAAAGCTTCTCATCTTCCGTATACAGAGTCTGCCAAAAAGTGTATACACACTTTAGTGATTCACAGTACTAATAAATGTCTGGAAGCTTGTGGCCACCACTCTGAGCAACCCTTGTAAGTGTAGTGGCCAAAGGTAACTTGTATTCATCTCATGATGTCTCAATAAATTTAGACAAGTTTTTCTTTTCCTGATGTATACATTTTTTGGTGGACTATATTTCTTCAGCTTCTCATAACTATGCTAACCTTTGATGACAATGATCACAGTGATCACAATTATGTGGAAGGGGCATGTTAAAAGATAGGAATGATACTTTGGAGGTCAAGGACAATGTGAAAAAAGAAACAGAGAAATAACACCATTGTAATATGAAGAGCACACAAGTACCACAAATACAGAAGTACCACAGACACTGCTGCAGGTGATTTGAAATATATAAACACTTTTGTTAATAATTCAATAAATAAAATTAAAATTCACATTCTGATAACTTTTTGGTAACATTGGGCATGTTTCCAAATATCTTTGTCCCATCTGCATCCTATCTGAAAAAGAAAATTGCACTAATTGAGATCTGAGTCAATATTTTATTCATGAATAAGAACAAGGAATTTGAGGAAACATTCTATAAAAAATAAAATTAGAACAAGGCTAGAGAAGAAACACTGAATTCACTTACACAATAATCCAATACCAAGTTGTTGCATAGTCTTCAAACACTTTTAAAGCGATTTCTCTTGCATCAAGGATTTTATTGATACCACTGAATTCAAAGAAGGGAAAAATAAATTGTTTTGTGACTGGTATTAAACAGAAATGCTCTTAGGATACAGAGAATCTGCAGGTTGCTGCTCAAGGCATGTTTTTAGAAACCACCTATAAGTAGTGACTTTTTTTTAGTCACAATACATCAAATGTCACTGCAATAAAACTGCAGAGGTGGGTGAACCTGGAAAGGTGGATAAGCTTGCAAAGGTGATACAGCTGCACACACAGAGAATATGGCTTTCAAGGAGAGTGAACAGTTCTTCTCCAGTGTATGCAACATGCCCTCAATATTGTAGATGCCTCACCATGAGGAATGCATTTAAATGATAAGATCAGCTTTTAACACAAAATCCATAGACTTGAGAAATAAGATGATCTTTAATTCCCCTTCCTACTCCTCTGACAGCACTGTAGCAACAGGGCATGATGGGGCACATGCAGCAAAGGGTGTAGATCATTAGTGTCCAGTTTGATGAATTATCAGTATGAACACACTCATATAAATCCACCAATGTCAGCCTTTCCTCGTGTGCCCTCTTCCCCTAAAGTAACAACTGTACTATCCTGACTTTTGTGATAACAATTCCCCAAGTTTTCTTTTAGTTTTAGCATTTATATATGTAGCACAGGACAATTTAATTTGGTTTTACTTCTTTTTTCATTAAATATCAATGGACCTATTTTATTATTTCTTTCACATGGATTCACCTTCCTAAATTCATCTGTTGCCATTATATTCTAAATATGCAGGAGCTGCACTATACCACCTGTATTACTAATATCTTTTAAGAAAGAAAGACATTTTTATAATATTTTTTTTCCTTTTTAATTCAACAATTCAGCTATGCAGTGATTCTCTGTACAGTATATATTTACATCTGTGTACACATGAACATGCATCCAGAGAAATATATTTCCCAATAATCTGCGTACAGCCAAAAGAAACAGTAGATGTACTGAATTAGAGTCTACAGAAATTTGATATGCCACCAGTATTCTTCCTTGTCACATTTCTAATCCTATTAACAATGGAAGACTTAACTATTTTGAAAACCATCATTGTTCTAACTCATTCTGGTTTCTTCTTTATATGCTGCCAAAGTATACAATCTAGAAGAAATGTATATTTTATAGTAACACAAATCTTTTCCTATAACCCTAATCTCATGGAAGCTTTAATATTGGGTACAATAACAGAATGCATCAAAACTGAAAATAGAAATGTAAACAAACATACTTGGTGGCCTCCCTGAGTTCCAAAACATTCCTCATCCTTCCACTTCCATCTTCAAAGAGTATCCTATTGCCTACTGTTAAAGTGCCATTTTTGTTAACGAAGTCAGGGAAACATCTCTGGAGAACTGTAAAAATAAATGAAAATTATGATCATCACTTTTTTACCTCTTTCATGATGCCTTCCTTTCTTAAGCTTTTTGTTATTTACAATCAGATTCCTGCTAGGTATGTAAGTTACTCAATAAGATAGCTAATTGCCTTTTAGTTGATCATTTGAAGATTTTCTGATAGCTCTGAGACTGAAATGGAAAGCAAATATGATCAAAATATGAAGCTGCATTCCAAACCTATTGATTTTTTTATACATGGTATATTCCTCAAATTGCCAGAAATAAATGCATGGTGTACACACATGGTGAACACACTAAGAGAAGAGCCGCATTCACTTGTATGACTGGATGAGCTTAAGTTTATTATTTCAAACTTTTTTTGATAATCCTTGAGTGAAAACTAAGAGTGGAGATGAGGAAATAGTTCCTTGGGATAAAGAACTAGCTCAGTTTAGGCTACTAAGAGAACTGAATTTTTGTATGTCAATTCTTAATTACTTGTCTCTCTTCCATTTTCATTTACATAGCTTTTTGGGGGGAGTAAAAAATGGAAATTCTGCAGCTATCTAAAGAGGCCCATAATTTGTGGACTGGTGTAATTGCTAAGAAGAGTTAAAATCACAGTTCAATCTTCTATGTTCTTATTTTGATTAAATAAAATCATTGTCTCCTTACAAATCTGCTACCTAAAATATTTTCAAGCCTCAATTTTAAATGAAGAGGTAAGGAAAGTCAGAATTGGATCGTTTTCATAACCTTTCTTATAAGAAGCAGTACTGATTTGCATACTAAGTTTAAACCCAAAATCATTAAATCAGGAAAAAAAGAAATACTGTGTGTCTCTATAAAGCTCTTCCTGACTTTCCTGGATCTGCTGCCCACCCACCTCCACCTTCTGTAGCTCTTACAGTACAGCTGGTTCTTTCTGGGCCCACCCTATCTCTCTCATGTTCTTCCTTCCCCTGCTGTGGCTAAGTTAACATATTATCCTCCACCACTTGCTTCTGCTCACCCTCAGTCCAATCACATTTCTGCTCTCCTCATGGAAATTGCTCCCCGGGAACCCCAATGACCCCATTCTGCTGGATCTCATCATTCTGCATGGTGCTTGGCATTAGTAAAACTCAGTCAACATTTGCTGTTAACTGAGCTAACTTTTCTGAGCCTTGGACATGGTAGATACACCTTAGCTTTGTGACACTGTTTCCTTGGCTTATGTGAATCCGTATTCTCTCCTGCTCTTTCTTTCTGTGGATTCTGTCCCCCTTTCCCCTCTAAATATGGGTTTTCCCACCCAGAGACACCCTTAACCTTGTTCCATGTAATATTTCTGGGCAATCTCATCTAATCTGTTAACTCCCATTACTTTATACATTCACTCTATATTTGAAAAGTAGAGAAAATAGAAAAGAAGATACAAAACTAAATATCATCCTACCACATATAATGAACTATATTAATATTTTGATGAATTTCCTTTCAATCTTTCTTCTACAGATCTTCTTTTCCTTTGGGAGTCAAAGTTATACAAGACATACCATCTTTTCTCTTCTTTCTTTCTCTTAATATTACGTTTTTTCTTTCATAAAGTCTTTAATGAATGGATTTTATTAGGTGCATACTATTCTACTAAGTATTATACTTGGTCCCCAAGGAGGAGAAGTTGATGGCTATGTATAGCTCTATGTTTCCCTCACTAGACTGTGAGGAGCTATGCCTTACTCATTTTTTTTTACCCCAAGGTACATTTTGTGTGATTTATCAGCCAAACTGTACTCATTAGGGCAAGGACTGTGTCTTAATACTTTTATACCTCCTACATGTTCTATAACTAACCATTTGCTTCCACATTTTTGCATAAATATTTCAATATTGTTCTTGGCCGTAACAGACGGTTGCTGCCCAGGGCTTCCTGTTCAGTTGCCGTTCATGGGACCCATATCTCTGTTTCCGGTCACTAATGACCCAGACAGGTGATAGGAGTGTCCCTGACTTGTATTTGGAAGTAGTTACGGCGATGTACTAGATATTCTGCAGAAGGTGATACCTATACCTATTGCCTTTCTTTTATTTTAAAAACAATATATACTCATGGTGGAAAAATGGAGAAACAAAAAAAGAGGAAATAAGAAGTAAAATGACTACAGTTCTGCCACCTCCAAAACAAGTCTTTAATATTTTGGGATACTTCTATCCAATCTTTTTGAGTAGTTTTTTTCTCTTAATGCTGTTGTTCATTTTAGTTGTTACATGCTTGTTCTTATAATGTATATAACAACTTCCCTTTTATTCAACCTTAAAACATAAATGTGCATGTTCTTGTAATCCTTATGTTTAATATTTCTAGAATATTTAATGACTGCATTGTAATTTGTAATTATTTCCTTGCTTTTGGATGTTAGAGAATCCTTTCTTTCTCTTCCTCTCTGCTTTTCTTTCTTTTTTAGTTCTTTTTAGTTACTTCAAATGAACATTGTGATGGCTATTTTATGTAAGGTTTTTTTCTCTCTAGTTCGTATTATATTATTTTATTTTTTTCTAAAGTGAATCACTTTAACATGTTAAATTTAAAGAAATAAAATATAGATTAATTCAGAAGATAAATAAAATAATCCAAATGTCAAATTACAAAGACAAGTATTATTTCCCACCCCTCTTCCCTGGGCATTTTCTGAACAAATTTTTGGGCTGAATCCAGGAGTAGGTGTGAATGAACATATCTGTGTGTATATTTATGTATGCTTGTTCAGCTCCAAATAATCAATTTGATTGGCTTTTTAAAAATCAATTTTTGGGCCCGAGATTTAGCTCAGTGGTGCTGTAACTGCCTTGCAAACTCAAGGTGCTGAGTTCAATCTCCAATACCCTCCCCCAAAAATCAATTTTTTGAATTTTTGTGTGTTAATGTAGCAAAACCCAAAACCTCACAGAGCTCCAGCAAAGCATCCCTGTCTTGAGTTATGAGCATGGGCTTTACTTTGAACTTTCCTAATTAATTCTGGGACCTTGGGCCAGTCTTATGATCATTTTTGGCCTCAGTTTTGTCAACTGTAAAATAAGGAAATCTGAGGTAGTTAACAACTTCTTGCTAGATTATGTGCTTCTAAGGTAAAATAATTACCACATACAAGGTTTGCTTGGAAAAACCGCGGTGGGACAGTCATCATCCATTAGGACTTCGGGGAGAGACTGAAATAGAAGGAAGACTATGTTCATATTTCACAGGCTATGTAATGACCACTTTGACTCTCAGTACTAAAGTTTTGTTCTTTAAAAATGTGACTTCATGGGGCCGGGGATTTAGCTCAGTGGTTTCGCCACCTGCTGCGCAAGCGCAAGGACCAGAGTTCGATCCCCAGTACCAAAAAAAAAAAAAAAGTAGCTCCATAAATCCCATTATTCCACACAAGATTATCACACACAAACTCTAGTTCAACAAATTTTTTTAAATGGCCTAATTATAGTTAAACTGAATGAACAAAATAAAAATAATAAAATCAGATAATAAAATTACACCTTCTGAAACACGGCACACCCATGAAAGTTAATATCTTTGTCTAAGCTACATTTTTAGTCTCTAATCCATCACAGTTTTCTGGAAAAACTGCATCTTCTGTAATGTAAAAGCCATTAATATTATTTAACATAATGAGGTTCCAGAAATACCTTATAAATCCCAAACCTAGGTAGGGTTTTTTTTTTTTTTTAAAGAGCAGTTATCAACTTATGCTTGGAAACAAAATTCTTTTTACTAAGTTGCTATAGGGTTTATCAGTACCTTAATGAAACGGTGACTGCTAATAACATTAAATCCTTGCTCTGGACTGAAAAAAATGTCCATTCAGGTATGGTAATAGTTGAAGCTAACTTACCAGACTTAACAGCTTTTCGTAACACTCATGTCTACACAATGATACTTTATAAATGAGGTATATTTAAATGAGTGTAAACATGTACTTGTGTTTTAATGCAGTGGTGCCTAAGTAATCATTTCCTAATTCGAGAGCTTCTCCAGTAACAAATGATCACGTTACACTTGAGACTGAAACAAAAGTTAAATTCTCCAGTTGTCAACTTAGACACACCTTTGCAGGCTTAGCAGTGGACTTGCAGAATTGACGGTAGTATTCCCAGTAACTACTGTTCTTTTTATACAAAATTTGCATTTCGACGTAGGTTAAAAATGTTTCGGGGCACTTGGAGACACAGATCTATAAGAAAATGAACACAATGATAGGAATTGAGTTGAGAACAAACCAAGGAAGTATCTATAAGATTAGACTTTTAAATTGTCCACCAGAGGGCCGGGGATTTAGCTAAGTGGTTTCGCTGCCTGCTGCGCAAGCACAAGGACCCAAGTTTGATCCCCATACCAAAAATAAATAAATAAATAAATAAATAAAATTGTCCACCAGAATAAAGAGCAAAGCTATGTTTCGCATCTAAGGAACTTAAATCAGTTTTCTCACTTAATTTTGTAAAAAATTAAACTCCAAGTAGAGTTACCAATATCTACTCATTGCTCTCCAGTGTTGATATTGTGTTAAAACAAGATATTGTACAGTGATAAACTTATTTTTTAGCTTTTGATTTTGAAATAACTGTAGTTCCACATATAGCTGTAAGAAATAAGAGACTCCATGTACCTTTTACCCAATGGTAATAATTCCATAACTATAACAAAATATTACAAGCAGGAAATTTATATTATAACAGTCAGCAAACCTTATTTAGATTGCACTAGTTTCATAGCCATTCACTTGTGTGTGCCTGCAGTGGCAGGTGCACTTCTGTACAATTTTATCGCATGAGGAGACTCCTGTGACCATTCCCATAGGATAATAATGAGCTTTTGATAAAACATTCTCTTAGGATTTTCTGAATTAGTAGATGAGAGTGTAATTCAAGATTAATTTTGTCTGTGTAGTTTATGCACATTCAGGACTGGACTTTTGCTTCCTTTCCTTTATATGAACAATACAATGATAGTGTAACATGCTCTGAATATTGATAATTTATGCTACTAATAATTATTAATGCCAGTGAATACTCCACAATCATTCTCAAAAACATAATTAGAGTTTGGTCATTGTAAGAAGTGAATTAAGGCCATTTGTTGCAATTAATCATTACTGTAGTCTTTTAACACTATGTAGACCTGGACAGAGAGCTCACGCATGCAGTTATTTTACATGAATGAGTCTGGGGCCTAGCAGGGCCAAACCCTCTCACTATGCTCCTCCATGGACCCCCCACAATGTGACTGCAACCTAATTAGGAATTCCATAAACAGAAGGCAGCAGGAATTTTGCTTCTGTTTATAATAATAATAACAAAAGAAAGTCATAGGAAGTCAAAGGAGATGCAGTTAGCGTCAAACATCTCTCCATCAGTTCGGCTCCTTCATGTGAAGTCCTCGGCCCCAGCACTCCCTCTGCCTACTGTTCCTCGGTAATTATTCTTGTTGCCTGAGCCCCGCAGGTGGTAGGCAAAACCACGACTCCTGAGCCAACATCACTTCTCTATCGCTTGGGTGGTGTTTCTGCTCTACACAGGACACTTGCTGTTGACCTCACAGCTAGGTTAGTCAGGCGATACCTAAATGGATATCTCAAATCTCACAGTTAAAATAGTTTTATAGCAGCAGCAAACCAGTGTCTTGTGGGTGCTTTGACACAATAAACAACTCATCTCCACCTTCATGCCTCCACATGCATTTTCTCCTTCTCTGCTTTTCATTCACACACACACACACACACACGCACACATGTACAATCTCATACACACACTCATACTCTAGAGGAAATATTGGCAGTCTCAAGGTACCAATCTAAAAAAGGTAAGAAACTATATAGGGACATTCACAGCATTCAATGTGTTCGGATATTTTGGAAGGAAGTTAAGGTTATTAATGCAAATGTCAAAAGTTCACCCTGATTGGAGCTAAGCTGAATAAATCATTAACATGTTGGGAGATACATGACAGATATTTAAGCTTTGATTATTTACTTATTAGAAAATGTTGAAGGATAACTGATCTAGTTTCCCTGTTGGATACATGTCAATGGATTTATAAAAGTCAGTACGGAAAGAATTAATGCTTTCACAGGTTATCAGTATGATAACTTTCACTGAGTTGGGACCATGGCATTTTCTTTTTTCGTTTTTTTACTAGTACATGGTTGCAGTACATAATGATTTTTTGTTTGTTTGCTTCTTTGTTTTTTTTTTGGTACGAGGCATGGAACTCGGGACCTTGTGCTCGCGCTTGTTTGTTTTTTGAGAAAAGGTCTCACTTTGTAGATCAGGCTGGTCCTGAACTCACTATGTAACCCAGGCTGGCCTCTTAACTCATGGCAATCCTCCTGTCTCAGCCTCCTGAGTGCAGGGATTATAGGCATGCGCCATCACGCCTGGCTAATGATTTCATTTATTGTGGGGAGTTGGTACATGTACATAAAACATCTTAATTCTTTTTTAGTCCCTCACCCCTTCCATCCCTTCTTGCTCTTTCCATCTCTTTGGAACATGAGAATATCTGTGCTTACAAACACACACACAATGCATACTACATATATAAAAGTATGCAACACACATAAGAAAGCAATTAAAATGGTAAAAAGTGGTTTATTAAAGAGAATTACATCAAATTTCATTCCAGACACAAATGAACTGCTAAACAAACAATATAGCAACTGCTTTTTACTTTCTGTCTCTATCAGACCAATTTGTTTACTTCAAATAGGATGCTGATTAGTAGTAATCAACATATAATTAGCCAAAAATGAAGGTCACATTGAGATTGGGTATTCTAATTGATCAGTCTGTCTTTTAAATGCTTATGACACATGTCTGAACCATGCTGGCAATTAACAAAAACATAATGCATGCATACAACATTGCCTGGTAGACTACATGAAAAGCTAAATTATATGCAGCTAAAACATGTCCTGACTCAATTCTGACTCTATGTACCAGAAAGGGCACACTGAATATAGATTTTTTAATCACTATTTTTACATCTTTGATTCAGATATAGTTAACACTCCAGTATAAATTAAGATCTGGTATCCGGGATACGGAGTTGCATTAAAGATTAAAACACTATTTTTTCTATGAAGATGACCTAGTATATCATTTATGAAACACAACAAATAAGCATCTTGTGCAAGATTTTTTGTCTTATCATAGGAATGATAGATTTGTATAGTATAGTGGAAAAATTCCTTAACTGAGAGTAGGAAGATATTCATTCACTCATTTATTAATTCATTAATTGTATAAATGCTTACTGATCATCTACCCTGAGTCTGTTTTAGGCCCTGGGGACTTAGTAGTGAACAAAACAGAAAAAAAGTCTTTACTCTCAAGCAATTTGTCTTCTGAGAGGGGGAGACAGATAACAAAAGATAAGCAAAATGTTGTTATAAAATGGCACTAAATGCTGGGGGGAAATAAGGTTAGAAAGGAAGCTGGAGAGGGAGGAGTGAGGTGCTGGCTGGGTGAGACTTTAATCTAAAATAAGTAGGTCTCACTAAGAAGGTAGCATTTGCAGAAAGACTTTAATGATGAGGATTAGTGGAGGAAGAGGAAGAGGAAGGACTGGAGGAAGAGGACTCTAGGCAAAGGGAACAGCAGAATCAAAGACTCAGAGGCAGGTTCCCAGGATCCTTTAAATAACAACAGATGGTCATTATGAGCCAGGTGTGGTGAGCAAAGGGAGTGTCACCAGTCACCAGAGGGGTGGTCAGACCAGAAAGGATCTTACAGATCACTGTTAGGACTTTGTCTTTTAGTAAGAGTAACAGGAAGATACTGGGACACTAAGCAAAGAGGATACTTAATCTTACCTATATTTGACAAGATCATCTTGGCAGCTGGGCAGAAAAGAGACTACAAAACGACAGAGTAGGGGAAGGATAGAGGCAGAAAGAGACCACGCAGGAGATCACTGAATAATCTAGAAAGAGATCATTGTTCCCTGACCAATCAGGGAAGAGATGGTGAGCAGTAGGCTGGTCCAGCATATATTCTCAAGGAGACCAAAGAAATTAGCTCACAGTTCAAACATGGGAGTGTGTGAGAGAGGCAACAGGATGACTCCACTGTACTTGGTACTGGTGTTAAGTGAAATAGAGAACATTGTTGAGAGTGTGGAACCTTCTAGGGGACCAATCCAGAGATTAGAAATTCAATTCTGGACATATTAAACTTGAGGTGTCAACTAAATATCCCAGTAGAGATACTATAAAGGTTGGAGTTTAGGAAGAAGATTTATTTGGAAGTACAAGTTAGGAAGGGCAGCATATAAAATGGCATTAAACCCATTATGAGATCAACAAAGAAGTAAAGCAGACTTAGAAAAGGACTGAGCTTTGTGGGGAAGAGAACACCAATGTTTAGAAGATGCTGTTAGAAAAATAAAGAGAAATCAAGAGAGGAGACTGATGGGGAGCAACCAGAGTTGGGAGGAAATACAGAAGAATATTGTACCCTGGAAGCCGAATGAAGAAGGGTTGGTTAAACATTGCTGCCAGAGCAAGCAAATGTAGATTGAGAACTGACCATCTGTTTAATAGAGAGGTCAATGGTATAATTTGGGGACAACTAGACTAGAAATAAAAGGCTAGATGAGAATGTAAGGAAAGGATTCAGATACAGTAATATAGACAATCTTTGAGGAGTTGTGCAAAAAAAAAAATAGAGGCACAGAGAAATGGAGAAGCAGGTGGAGGGGTCTGAGATAGGAGGAAAAGGCACGAAACTGTAGAGTAGGAGAGTGGGGTGGTGAATGGATGACGGGGGTGCAGCATCTTGAGGGACGATGGCATGAAGGACACTCTCCGGACAAGGTCCTGAACTTAAAGAACCGCTGTGTTTTTTCTCCCAAGAATATGTTTAGGCTTAGGCATGGAGCAATCAGAGAGCTACACTTAGTATGGATGAGGTTTTTCCAGGGAAGTAGACTCAGGGAGAGAGGACAAAGGAACTGGGAGTTTATGTAAGGGTGTTGCTTCAACAAGGGATGGTGACATCTAAATTAGGCGAAGAGTCAAGTGACAGCATGAGGGAAATGAAGGGAATGTTGAAGAGATAAGGGTCAGTGGTTTATTGTTAAATAACAATAATGTCAGTGAAACAGAAGAAGCACTGGAGGTGGAATATTAGATTGCAATGATCAGATACTGCAGTGCTTGAAAGTAAGATTACAAAGAGAGGTAATTACTGCTAATGACAAGGTTAAGTTTTAACCTTAGGCAAGTGTGTAGAGGTGGTGATAAAACTAAAATATCAAAATCCCTGGTGGGCTTTAATCTCAGCACAACTAAAATTTCAAGTCTTCAAGGGAGGTGAAGAAACAAAGAAATACAACAGATCCATGAACTAGTTCTAGGAAAGTCTTTAGGTGTGGTATTGGCACATGGAACTAAGAAGCAAGTTGGTCAGAAGACTGGTAAGGTTTTGAGGTCATCAAAATGCCAAAGAAATAACGAGCTACCCTAAAAAATCCTTTATCAGTTAAAATAGTCTTTAAGGCACTAAATTTGTACAACAGGAAGTCACCTTCAAAGCTCTATGGCCTATAGAAGGACCTACTTTGCACTGCTTATCCTGGTAGCTAATGGACAGGAAATAGCCTCCCAGGTGGCCAAACAAAGGGCCTCAGGATGAATGCATAAGGGAGTTCCTCTGAGAGAACATAATCCAGGTCAATAAAGGACTGTTCTCCCTCACCATGCCCCAGAGACTGCTGTGCAGGTATCTCTTCTCCGTTCCTGATGGGAGAGTTATTCTAATTTTCCTACCTGCTCCCTACCATGCAGTTAATGTCAATATCTGATGGAGAGAGGATCAGATGCATCACACACAGATCCTGGACTGTAAGTTAAAGACAGTACTCAGTGAGACTCTGGATGCTCCTTTTGGAAGAAGAGTATTCTGGTGGCCAGAGGAGAGACCATGGAAGACCCAACTAACTGTCCATTGAGGTTTGTGCTTCTGGATCCGTGGTAAGAAGGGTCTGCTTAGCTCACAACTACCTTGCTTGATTTCTTCCTCCTTCCATGTAGGTATGATCATACCTATTTTATGAGTATGAACATGAGTAGAATTGTTATGTGTAACTCTCCGGATCCAAGGCTTTTAAGAGTGGTGCTTATTTATCTTTACTGTCTCCTTCTGGCAACTGGATGCAGATGATGAAGAGGACTTAAAGGATGGAAGAACCATGACATAAAAGGAACCCGGGGAAGCATGGTCCACTGAACACAAATACCTGCCTTGTACCATTATGCTGTCAAAACAAACATTATTGTGTTAAGTCACTAGAGTTTCTTATAGGAGCTAACTTTAGCTTTCCTAATACAATATTAATGCTGAGAAAAAATATATCTATTTCTTTAGGCTTGTAGTTATTTATTTATGAAAGTAGATGCTTGGATAAAGTAATCACTAAGGTTCCTTAGCAATTCTAAAATAATTAATCCCTGCCTAGTTTTGATTGCATATAAACAAAACTGAGATAATACTTGTGTCTTTTGATCACATATACACAGGAGTCATATCAAATTTCTGAGTTCTTTTATCCCAAAATGTTCAGACCTGCTACCGTCACCAGCAAGGCATCTTCTTCCTTACCTGTGTGGTAGGGCACTGTAGGTTTATCATCACAGAGGGACTGGCACATCTTAGCAGGTTAAAATAAAACAAAACAGTCTTGTTCCTGTTTAGAAAACATATTAAATAATCTTTTTAGTGACCATGGAAATGTTCCATAATATTTCAGATCCCAAAAATTTTTAATGTATGACCTTTAAAACTTAGCTTAATTTTCTTTAGACAGCTGCAATATATTCTCACTCTTCTCTTTAAGCTGTCTAATAATTAAATCATCTTTTTATAATTGTAAAAAGTTGAAATAATCAAATTGTTCACCAGGAAGGTATTGGTTAAACACAAAATTGTACATTCATGAATTGGAACATTACATGGAAAATAATACTGAAGAAGATATTTAATGGATAGAGAAATTAATAATACATTAAATTTAGGAAGCTACTTACTAAAGAGTATTAAAATATGCTTGATCATAACTGTGTAAAAAGTGTAATCAATTATATGTAGAGAGAAAATATTGTAGCTAAATGTTGGGTTGTATTCGTTTAGTTTTTTGTGATTTTATGGATTTCCTAAAACCAATGTTGTATTATTTAATAATCTGTAAGTTACTTAAATAATTCAATTGATATTTTCATTATTGAAAATTAGAGTTAGTGGCAGAGTAATGCCCTCTGACTATTTTCCACCACTAGCTTTGAGTGAACTATTACTCTGTTATTTGACAAGCCACTGTTCTGTTTTGAATCTCAATTTCCTCATTAGCCAAATGAAGAGAATACTACCCCTGTCTACTGCACAGTGGTGTTGGGAGGACCTAAGATAATGTGTAGTGGACTCAAGAGAAGTAAATGCCCAATCTTAGTATACATAAATAAAACTTGGGGTATTTATTAAAAATGCTGCTTCCTGACCCTCCTTGACCCTTGAGAGCTCACATGTCTGGCTATCGAGCCCAGGAATTAGCAGTGTCCCCTAAGATTCCCAGTGGATTTAGATCGAGGTGCTTCATAAAATGCACCTTAAGAAACATGGCCCTCATTACTCAACGTTTCCCAGCACCTTATCAAGTCTTTCATTAATTAATTTGACTACAGGCCCAGCATAAATAGACATAATGGTCTGCTAAGCAATGTCTTTCCCACTGACCCAGAATCAGTAAGAATGACCCATCTGAGGATAAAGAAAATCCTCCACAAGAAGTCAGGGCTAGCTCCTTCCATTGCTCTTGCCTCTTTTCTGGCCCTATCTACATAAGCAAAAGATGAGGAAATGGAGCAGAGAGCACAGTTGGAAAGACACACAGGTCAGATGTAAGAGGAGCCCCCTAACACTGAAGAAAGGGTGAGTTATCTTTCCCAGTTCCAAATCCTAGAAGGCTCTGAGAGAACGTCTGCTAGACTAAAGGTGCCTATAGGAAGGGCAGACTGGAGTCTCATTTCCAGTGTGGTAGACCTGTCTCTCTGCCTATTTGAGCAGGGAGAAACAAGACCCAAGAAGAACACAAATGAGTTGAGAAAGTTCAGTGGAGCAGAAAGAAGTCAGCAGTGAAGCAGCTTGTCCTGGTAGGATGTGCAGACAGGCAAACGAGCTTCAGCGCCCGCCTGTGGTGGTGCCTTGCCTGACAATAAGAGTCTGTGGGGCAAATCACCAGGAATGAAGCTGAATACATCTGGAGGAGAGCAAACCAAAGCTGATATCTCACACCTAACAACTGTCCAGGAAGGACCTCCCAAGAAAGCTCTCCCCTGTTCTCCATAAGAAAGCCTGTCTTTGGATGCTTGCTCCAAAGAAGGTACTGATAGCTAGTCAGTTATGTCTTAGCCACAGTAACAACAGCATATGGGACTAGGCTGTGGCCATCAAAATAACCGACAACCCTCTCTTTCTCCTCATAATATGATTAAAGAGAATCAGAAAGGAGAGACGTGGAGAAGCAGGCCAGATACTCTCCAGACTCCATCTCCTTTGCAGGATCAAAGTGGAGACTGGAAGAAATTAGATGTAAATTTTAACTTGGGCCAGGCTAAAGTTTTAACAACAAAAAAATGTCTGAAAAGCTACGTAATCTCCCTGAGATGTCAAAGCAAGAAGGGAAATTTGAAAAAACATGGTTAAAAGCAATGATAGGAGAAAAATAAGCCCACGTCATGTAGGTGTCCCACTGAGTTCAAATGGCTCGTGCGGCTGGTTATAAATTCACACATAGTAAGCACAGGGGTACTTAGGGATCTGCAAGTGTCAGCTTAGCTTCTCACCACTCAAGCAACTGCAGCATTCACACATTCTCACTGAGCATATGATTCACATTTGTACCTAAGCAAATGAATAAATTATCACATGTCATGGATCCTTGGTCCCTTAGGAGAAGTTAAAACTGTGAATGGAAAATCAGTAAGTATCAAGAGTCCACCAAAGGTAAAATTGATTTATAAACTGCAAAGTGCTACATAAACTCAAATTATTCAGCAGCTTATGTTATCCTCAAGGGTACAATTCAGACCTTATCCAGCTTTTTATTCCTACCTTGCCAGAATGTTAGCCTAGTACTTGGCCCATTCTAGCCACATATTAAATATTATGAAATGAATGAGACAGATTCCAAAACAAATTTTTTTTTCAGTCCTGGAATCCTCTTTAATTTTTCAGCACAAACCTATAGTTATTCGACCATGGTCTCTTTGATATCCTCAGATTTCAGTGAGCCTCAGATTCCTTAGGCACAAAGCACACAGTGATGGTTGTAACTGAACAGTTTTGAGGAATTCATTGAGGAAGTATCTCCTTGTTTAATGTAAGTTATGTTTCTACCAGAAATAAAAAAGAAGCAACTGCAAACTATAAATTTAAATTATGCATCAAGCTCTAAGGTTCATCTCTGTTCCTGAAATACACTGGAATAAAATAAAAGTACCAAAAAGGAATAAATCTCATCTAACTAGCTAAGAATATGGAGGATGAGATTTGCTCACATTTGCACAAGAGTTCAAAAGTTTCTGGAAGAAGGTATGCACATGGGAGTGTGTTGAACAATGAATGCAACCTACTGGGCGAACAGTGAATACATCCCTACCGAGCCAGGATTTAGCTCAGTGGTTCTGCTGCCTGCCTCGCAAGCGCAAGGTCCTGAATTCCATCCCCAGTCCAAAAAAAAAAAAAAAAGATTTGCCTGTTAGAAATCATGAAAAATATTGCACTAAGGGTTGACAATGAGAAATGTGGCCAAGTGGAAGGAGATTAATTGTAGATTTATGTAATAATCTCCAGTGCAAATTAGCACATCTGTACTTCTGCACCTCCTAGAATTCCAGCATCCAGGAAAAAGAGGAATACCTCTTATTGAATGGACTTTCTGAGAATAGCAAAGGTTTCTGTGAGATTTTGTATCCCAGGCCACATTATGAAGTAGTGTGGCCTGATATCTCGTTTCCCAGATGAAATCTGACAGCCAACATGACCCCATCACTTCACACAGTGCAGAGGCCCCCCCTGGAAGACTGAATTAGGAACACAGCAGCCCAGGAAACTCATACAAGTATCGAAGTCCTCCTTCCTGTGATAGGAATGGATAATCAGCCAGCATCAGGAATATAAGAGGAATCAGAAAGCAAGAGGAAAGACAAAGGTAAGCAAACAAAAACTGATGCTGGATGAAATTAAAATAATGTAAGATATGGTTGATTCAAAGTAATTCAAGCAGCTTATCCACAAAATAAAACTGTGAGGTTACTATAAAGGAAAATCTGGAATAAGCAGGTGTTTATAGAGATTAAGGAGATGATTGACAACAATTTTTAAAAACTGGAAAAAATGAGAAAATTTAGAATGAAGAATAAAAAGACCTGGAAAATATTTCTAGGGGAGGGGTGGAGAGGCATTGGGATGAACTGAAGGTATAACTAATAATTCCAGAAAACAGAGCTAATAAAGTGCAAGCTACTAGAAAAATAACAGAAGAAATTTTTCCAGATATAAGAATCATACTTAAAAGATTCTTCAGAATTAAATTTTCAGAATTGAAAGATTCACTGAAGATTGACCCAAAATAATTTTAAAAAGAAAATATGCATTAAATTGTGAGATTTCACAACACCCAAAATGAAAAAATGACTTTAAACCCTTAAAAGAGGAAAAAAGTCACCACAAGCTATGTGAATCAGACTGGCATTAGATGTACTGATGTACACATTTGATCTTGTAAAAGAATAAACACAGGAAGTAAAAGAGGGAAGAGAAAAGAAAAATAGAGAGAAAGGCAGGAAGGATAATATCCTGCTACATAAAGAGGAGCCAAGAGAAAAAAAAAAAGAGGAGCCAAGATACTGACAAAAGTGAGCAGGAACAAGAAGCGGAAGTAGTAGTATATTTTTCAAAGTGACCACAAGGAAATCTAAATGTAGTAATTTATTTATTTATTTATTTATTTTGGGGGGCGTGCCGGGGATCAAACTTGGGTCCTTGGGCTTGTGCAGCAGGCAGCGAAACCACTGAAGTAAATCCCGGGCCCTAAATGTAGTAATTTAACTGCCAAACATAAGGATCAGGAAAAGAGATGATATAAAGGAGTTAAATCTTTGTTTTCCAAAGCTGGCTGTCTGTAGATACTTTCAAAAGTTAATAAAGCATACAATAGAAGAGTAAGAATATGATTTGAAATTATACAGAAATGACTGCCAGATGAACTAAAACACTGAGAGAACATTGTCTCTGTGGAATAAAATTGTGAGCAAAGAGACTTAAGATGGGAGGTCACTGCTTCTATTATAAAGCTCTTCATTACTGTTTGATTTGTCTTTACATTCATATACTGATCCAAATTTTAAAATGTAAACCAAGTTGGGGACCTGGGTCTGTAGTGTGTACAACTGCATGGATCTGTGAGACACTCTTGCATTTTGTGGAAGGTTCTTCAGTGAAATGAAGACAAAGCTGTTATTGTTTCACTTAGATCCCAAACTGAACAAAAAATGTAAATGAAAGCGCTTTGTCCTCTTCACTTTTCCTGTCTCATTTGAACTAGTGGGGTCTTTTAGTCTGTCTCATTTGGTAACGGTGCTGCATCAATTTCAAAGTTGTTTTAGCACAACCTTTGCAAGCTGAAGTTTT